AGGCTGTAAATCTTCCCTAGAGTAGAAAGCTGTATCTTTCTCCTGCGGAACAACTGATGGACTCAATCTGCCGACCTTGTGGCTAGCAGTCCAGTGTGTATCCTACAGAGAGAAAAAGGGGCTTCTCGCAGCTAAAGCCTGTACCCACTGACATGTCACCACGTCTCCCTCTAGAGTCATTACCTAAATCTCAAAATAATGGTCAGATGATCTCATACTTTCCCTCATCTTACTATCTACAAACATGAAACAGCATTCTCTATTTCACAGCAAGATTCAAAAATTCATTACAGTGGCCACACATAAATCAGACACCACACTCACATCTGTGGAGTTTATCAGGGAAGTTAATAGGTTATAGTGCAGGACCAGAAATGTTCAGGATACATTTATTTCCATTGGGACAACCTCTTCTCTGTCATGTCCTCAGACAGGCCTCTCTCTGGCCTGTTAGCCTTTGTCCTGCTTTGCAGTGTTACGAAGATCTTTTCCCACTGCTAATGCATGCCCAAAGAGCATTCCATTCCACTATAAACCTCAGTTCCAAGGGACTAGTTTCTAACTCCATGAGTCAGCAAAGCTAACTCCTCAACTCAGTGCTTAGAGGCACCGCACTCCACAAGTGAGCCTCCTGCCCAAAGACACTCCATTTTACTTGCTCCACGGGCTGGGAAGCCCATCACTCTGTCTGGTGCTCTGGCTCTAGGTTCTGTTGCTGCTGTTCTTCTGCCACTAGTCTGCTACTGCTCTGGTGTCACATGTTTCTGTCCTTGAGTTGAGGAGGTTCAATTTAGCCCAATCAAAACTGCAATCTCAGGATCCAAAGGATGTGCTGTACTGCTAACTCTTCTTTCTTAGTGGTAATGGTATTCTCCACTCCTGCCTCTGAGATGACTCATTTAAAACCAAAGAGGATAGCAACATTGGCCAATCCCCAAGTAAGAGTTTCAAGTTTTTATAATCAAATTAAATCTGTTAACAATCACTCACAACTGAATCATGTAATCCTGTCAGCATCTCGTTCCACCTTTCTGTTACGTACACTCATCAGGAAAAATTTAAAATGTTGGTTTGTGGGAGTTACAAAGACTAGGGCTAGAAGTTGTTGTTAAGTACCTTTGAGTCAGTTCTGACCCATAGTGACTCTGTATAGGGTTTCTGAGGAGCCACTGGTAGGTTTGAACCAAGGACCTTGCAGTTCAAACTGACCTTATGATCCAGTACATTATCCTGCAATGCCACATCAGTACTCTAGAAGACTCATGTTAACATAGAAAAGCCATGCTAAATAACTCACTGCAGTGAACTACCAAAAAGAGAAAGAAAAAGGAATACAGAAGGAAAATTGATAACTTCAAACTGTCATGTCCAACAAAGAATATTGAATATGATGTGGGGACTGCCAGAAGAATGAACAAATCTATCTCACAAGAAATACAACCAGAAAGCTCTTTAAAAGCTAGACTTGTCAGACTTTGGTTCAGTGATTGTGAACACATCATCAGGATAAGGCTAGCATTAAAAAATAAATAAATAAATAAAAATATCATATTTGGTTAAGTGAGAGTCAGAGAAAACCTCAGTGAGATGAATAGACACACTAGCCACAATAGCACACTCAAATAAACCAAGGACCATGAAAATAAAGTAGGACTGGACAATATTATCTTCTGTTATACATAAATAATGTTGTCTACTCAATGGCAATTATCACCACTAAAAATATATAGAGAGAGAATTAACTGAGCAATCATTCAGTATTTTTAAAGAAATCACTTTGGAAGAGGAAACATAAACTGAATTTTTAAATGGTCAATTTAAATGTCTCATATGCATAGTCTGCAACTATAAACAAGGCAACAGAAGATGAACTGCTTGAAAGACCTTGAAAGAATAATATGCTTCGTTATAGTCTACCCTCTAAGTTTGGCATATATTTTGTAGGCTAACCAGACAATGTCAGAAACCACAGAAAATAGTTGAATCTAGCTATAATAGTTGGTGAGAAGGAGAATGCCCTGGTGGTTTGGAAAAATAAAAGGAACCAAATCAGATAAGGAAACATACTAAACAAGTTTTTCGCTAAATTGGTTTACATTCGGCTCACTAATAGATTTTCTTCTAGGCCTGGAGAGGGATGCAAAATTTAAAATATAACTAATACCACCTTACCAGGGATGGATAAAGCAAGTATCTTATACCAGATACTGGGTAGGATTTCCCTGAGCACATCACAGGAGCAAGAGAAATTTGGTTCTGTTAAGAATAAGAAGGTAAGACTATAACAACTAACTAACTAACTAACTAACTAACTAATTAATTAACCAACTACCAACTGCATGGTAAGATCTGCTTCTTAATAATATCTTATTTTAAATTAAGCATGTAAGAAACATTTTTAAAAACACAGCTATAGTTTCCTTGAAAATTCCATATAGGGTTGCTATGAGTCGGAACCAACTCAACGGCACTTAACAACAAGAACAACAAAGCTGTAGCTTGCAGATGATTTTTGTAAGGTGGAGACAAATAATCTCAAGGAAATAACAACAAAAAAAGAAGTAAACAAATCATTTTTGTAACTATTTGTCACTGTAGTAATTATTGAGGGCATCTCCTTTAAGACTAAGAATAAACATGCAGTTTTTATTAAATATGCTTTTCCCATAACAGGTCCATAAGCATTTCCCATGACTCTGCATTTGAGTATCTTGGCTGGAAGAGGATCTGGCCATTAGAAGAAGGGCTTCAGATATGCTGAGTCCCAGCCGTACTAGAGATTTGGCACCTTTATATGCTACTTCCTAATACCAGCCCCAGCATAAAATGTCATCAGAAGCCTGCATAAACATTGGACTTAGATTCACATAAATTATTTCTGTCCTGAAGTGCTTTATGCCAGAATTTAGTAAAAACAACACTTTGAGTAAATAGAATTGGCGTATGAATGTAAGAATATTAATCCAAGAAAATGATCATAGAAAAATATAATCAAAAGTACACTCTTGTGAATCTTCCAAGGATGTGAGAGGTTTATGTTGCACCTCTGTGTTTGTATTGAACATTTCCACAGAGCTTCTTTAAGCTGACATTGCCAAAGCGCTTTGAATTATCAGTTGCTTTGTAGAATTGTAAAGTCTTCAGTTTTCATTAAATGCTTAGGAATTATTTTAATAATCATATGTGTGATTAGTGCTGGATCTACATATTCATTTTAAAAGCAAATATTGGGACAATGAAATATAATGCCAGATATGATTGCGCCTGTCAGCAAAAACATTATCTTATTTTATTAAAACTCACAAACCAAATGCCATGAACAAAAGATACATTTCCTATTGGTAGACAATTTCTATTTTATAATATTATAGTATCTGCACACTGCGTGACAGCATCTAACTGAGTTTTCCAATTTGCCTAGGGTATAGATAATACTAGAGAGATAGAGAGCTCTTCTTCATACATAAACACATCTTGTTATATACAGCTTCCCCAAATGTCCTATTTGGATTTTTGGTCTAATGTAAGCATGCTTACACTGTCAATACTGGATATTTATAAGTGAATGAAGATTTCCTGAAAATGATGATACTGTAGTTATTGGCAATAATAATATTATAACATTCCTAGTGACCCATTTTGACTTTAAGTATTTATTAAATAATATTCCTAAAATATGCACTTATAAAAATAAACAAGATTGCGACATGCAATAAAAGTGCATTTTTTTTCCTAAGCTTCAATTGAGTTCATTGCTCATAGACACCTCTCCTTGTGTTCAGTCTGCTCTGCATTTACTCTTTCTACTCTCTCTTTGTACTCTCTACTCTTCTTGCTGATGTGCTGATATGCTTTTCCCCAAAGCCACTCTCTTTACCACTCGCTGTGCCCACTATTCCTATTCTTGTTATTCTCTCATTCCTTACTGATATGGGAATAATAGGATCCCAAGGCTGTCCTTACAATATAATTAAAGTATGAATTTCCAGGAGTTGGAAATTGCAGACCATTTTTATTATGCTTCTATAATAAAGCCAGGTAACACGGAGAATTAAAATGGCTTTTTCCTAGCACTTAACTTGGTAAAGCTTTTGTTTCAAGAGACTGGGGGCTGAAAATAAGAATAGGTTCACCAATTCTTTTTCTGAAAACACCTCTATCTTTTACATGATATATATCCCCCTAGATCCTGGGAATATGTTATAAACTACTAACAGATGGTGATGAAGCTCCACATTTTTATACAATACATTTTGTTGAGATTCTGCATCACTGTATGTATCTTTTAGTGAATATGACCTTGAATGAATGAAGACATAATTTGAAGGAAAAACACCCCACAGATAGACCATTATAGAAACGACGAGTCAGTTGGGTTTTGCTTTGCTCTCTTCAGTAAGTTGAAATAATTTCATATGAAAAACAGAATGTTGAAATAGAGGAATCAAAGGTCATCTTAAACAAGAGGTGTGTGTGTTAGTTGTTCCAGGCAAACCAGTTTATCTGTGTTCTGTAATGGAACAGAAACATGTATAAGATAGAAAATCATTATTTGCAAGTAGAAACACTATTTGTTTCACTTGGATAATGTTGGGGGCTTACCAAAAAGAAAGAAAGAAAGAAAGAAAGATATATATATGTATATATCCTGGCACAACATCTATCAGTGTGAATGATTAGAAGTTCTAAATAGTGTGAGTGTTGATATTTTATGAATGTTTTATCACTGGCTTGAAAACAAGAAGTTTGCAATTGAAGAGATGGAAAGTGGCTAAAATATTAAAAAAAAAAAAAAAAAAGAGCATTAATGAGAATTACTAATGTCCCTATTGTAAAAACAAACTGAAGTTAATAAGAAACTTGATCCTCTTAACCGATTAACAAAAGTCAAGTTTTAATTGCATGGCTTCCCAGACAAATCAAGTGGCACTGTCACAGTGAACACTGTTTGTTGAGAGAGTACAGGAATAGGTGAAACTGCTGCACATTCAACTACTTACCCCTTTTCTCTACAGCTTCAATGCATTTCTTTACAAACCATGGGACTGTGGAATTTTCACGTTCACACACTGTGTGCAGATGAGAGCCAAAAATTTGATCTGCAAAAGAAACAAAGATGAGCTTCATTAAATCCAAACTTGTGTTGTTCTTTAATTTGATGGTTTTCATATCCACTGCATGCTGAAACCTTCATCTTGTATAGGAATTGATTTTTATGCTTTAATTCTAAAATGTCTATAGCAGACACACAAAGACCGTAACTCCTTCCTTTATGGAACAGGACTCTTGGTCCAGAGCAGGTAAACTAACCCTCTGCTATCGATTAAGCAGGGATGACTGAGTAAATTGTAGACTCTATGGGCCTAAACTTATTCATCTACCAAATAATGCAAAGAATGTAGAACATTCCCATAAAATACTTCATCTTCATTTCTGATTTCTTAGGCATTTCAAAAGACTACCAAAGGTCATCAAAATGGTAGTTTTATCAGTACATTTGGGCCATCCATTCTGCAGCTCAGTATTATTTTTCAAGTGGCAGGTTTCAAGAGATTTACTTTGAAGTGAGTTACGTACCATTTTTCCTGCCTTGGATGCCCTTCTTTTTCACAATTTAAGAATCATCTTTCTTTGAAGGCCCAACATATATCATGCTTTCTCCATCCAATCACTTCTTCCTATCTCAGCTGTATGCCTCTTGTAACATAGGTTCCTCAAGATGTTGATAGGTTTTCAGTAAAAAAAATTCTATGATCAAAAGATCTGGCAAATTTTCAGTTAAACAAAGTTAAACAGACTTCTTTAGTGTATATTTATTTCTAAAGTCTGTAACATGCCAGTAAGCATTGTGAATCTCTGTGAGGAGGTGGACAATGCTCTAAGTCTCAACCTTATTTGAACAAGATTCTATTTCAGAGAGCATCTCTCCAGAATAATGCCTCTGAGAATACACTTTGGGAAATCCTAGCCTAGCCCTCTTACTTAGAACATGATTTATGCTACCATACAGTGCATATTTACATTTATAATAGAGTAAATATATTCTTTCAAAGCAGATCAGATTTTTAATTCCTGAATGATTTAGGTCTTCTTACAGTCACCAGTCCTTAGCACAGATTCTGCCCTATTTTATTCACCCATAGATATTAGTTATGGATAAAGAAACAACTACTTAGTAGATTCAAAGTCTTCCCAGCTTGGTCAGAATGACATCAAAGTCTTTCTCATGACTTACAGGACATGAGAAAGGGTCCTAATCTGACCCTGACCAGGGAATGGATTCCACTTCCATCCTCTCTCCCCAATACTAGCTTGACTGAAACCTCACTTTCCACATTGCTGTTTCTCATTCATATCACATGTGTTCTGCCTCAGGAATCTATACTTATTCCTCTGTATAGATCTCTATTGCTCTGGATCTCTGATCAAATGTCACCTTATTATAGCATTTATTTTTCACCTTGTGAAAAATGACACCACTCCCACAGGCTCTCTGCATGCCACGTCCCTTGCTTTGCTTTTTTTCACACAACACTTACTTACACCTGACACGTTAGACCGATATGCTTACTGGTTAGTTGTTTACTTGCTTAGAATGCAAACCTCAGAAGAGCAAGAGCTATGCCTATTTTCTTCTTGTATTACTAGATCCTCAGTCCTGATGTGGCACTGTAAGATAAGCACCGAACTGCTAACCACAAGGTCGGCATTTCAAACCCACGAGCCACTGCTTGGGAACCCTATATACTGTCACTATGAGTCAGAACTGACTCAGTTACAATTAACAACACCAACAACATGAACAACAACAACATGAAATTCTGATGTGGTGCTGTAGGATAAGCACAGGACTGCTAACCACACGATCAGTGGTTCAAACCCACGAGCCACTCCTCAGACATTCTATACAGGGTTGCTAGGTGTTAGAACCGACTCTATGACACTTAGCAACAACAGAGCCTCAGTATCTTGACAATGCTTAGCACATACTAGATGTTCATTAAATATCTGTTGAATGATTGATTGCAAGATAATGTCTTCACCATGAATGGTGGTTTTTAATATAAAATATCAGAACTGGAGAGAAAAATATGTAATCTAGCAAGCTGAGTGCCAAATGACACATTATTACAAAGGGTCTATCAAAATATAGTACAATGAAACTTCAAGGAAGTCATGACTGTCATCCATTTCTTACAAAATGGTCGTGATTTGAACCCATGGTAACCTAACAGGGAGAGGCATTTAAAGAAGAAGCACTTACAGATATAATCCAAGATAGAAATATGCATATTTCTGCAAGAGACAAAAAGAACATCAACTGAACTGAAATCACACGGGCATAGTATAGTATAGAGAAGTAATAAATAGTGGTGGATTTTTGGTCAGTAACAAAGATTTATTATTTTAAAAATCACAGTGACTAATTATTATAAGAAAGATATAAAATATTCTTTAAGAAAAAAAATAACTCAAAAGTTTGGATTGAATGATTTAAATTGGATAGAGATTATAGTAATGAAGAATTACTACAAAGAGCAAAACCCTTTAATGGAAATCAAAATTCAAATACATTTCACAAATATTTATTGAGTATCTTTGCAGCACTGAAATAGAAATTTTAGGGCATAAAGAGATAGCAAGAAATTTGTAATCTTGTAGACACTAATAAAAGTATCCAAATAGCACACTAAATATATAGCAACTAGTGCTATAAATATTACAAAGGAAGTTTCAATAGACCAGGAGTCATGTAGAGTAGGTCTCCATGATATTTAGTACAGGTGTGTGTGTGTGCAATAGTGAGAAAGAGAGAGAGAAAAGTTTGTGAGATGAGATTCAGTCAAGAAAAACAAAATGCTGAAAGCAAAGTTTTGTTTGTGGATTTTTTTAGTTGGAAATGGAGGAATCATAGGATATTCATTTTTTCACCTACTCAATTATTTGCAAAAAATAAAAAAGAGGTAGTCATTTCTAGTGATTCAAAATCTGAAGATAACTAGACTTAGATTCTGTAACCAAGACATTCATTGTGAAATATAGTCAGTTGTAATGTGTGAATGGTCAGAGGAACCAGTTTGCAGAGAGGAGAATGAAGCAACTATATTTCAGCTACTGAAGTTCAGTGCCTAATGCTGGGCTCATTATATGCTAACCGTGAATTTCCATGAGATCCTTTGTATGCTGATAATGACTCTCAACCCTTTCAATTGAGTTCTTTGGAATGAGGTGGTTTTTGTTTGTTTGTTTGTTTGTTTGGTTTGTTTTGTTTTTAATTGTAACTAAACAGATTTGACAGGATTGGCTAGTAAGTTTCAGGAGCCGGTTTAATATTGAAATAGAAAGGACAGATGAATTAGAGCCACCACAACATGACATTAATTAGGAAGAGGATTGTGGGCATCCGTTGCTTTTGTGGTCCAGCATCTATTCTTCTATTTTCTGATAAGAGCACCTTGATTTTCCTTTGGGAGTGGCACCTTCTTCCCATTTTCCTGTTGATTCTACCTACTGAAGTTCCAAGGATAAACATATATTTCATCTCCTGGCCATAATCTTTGGTTCAAGCATGAACACATAAGCCCAAGTGAGTCCAGTCAAGTAAACTCTGAAACTTTTTCTGGTGCTACTGTTTCTACAGGAAGAAAATTGTTAATTATGAGAATTTAAATCTCAGCTTCCAGAGATATTTTGGTCACTTTCTGGGAAAAAAAAATATTGTTAAACTAATTCAAAAGAGAGGAACACAAAGCAGAGTGATGAGGGAAATCATGGTCTGATGGCACTTTGGGGCCTCTAAATCCAGTCATTCCTGAAGCCAAATTTGTGCCTTGGACTTTTCAACAATCATAATACAAATCCATTGTTACTTCTGCATTCTGGACAAGTTTCAATCAATTGCAATGGAAAGAACCTTGAGTATTATATTAGCCTTCAACATCTATGTAATATAGATGAGATGATGTTGCTCATGGAGCAGCTTTGCAAATTGAAAAGCGTTAGCCAAAGAAAAAGAGCATCTTAAAGCTTCAGTTAAATTTTCATTGCCAAATTTAAGGGGTGTTGTAGGATTGCCACCTATCTAAATATGATGCAGTCCAGGGCTTGCTACTCCTAGGAGGATCATTAAACTATGGGAACTACAGAACCTTCTATCTTAAATTAGTGTCAGAAAGGAAGAAGGAGTGAGAAGGTCTCTACTTTCTTGGCAAGCGTTATTGAACTAGCTTTTGCCCCCTACATTTTCATGCTTGTTGTCCTGGCACAGTGTTAAGGAATCCTTCTCCTTGCCTCTTATGGAATCCCAAAAAAGGGAGCAGTCCCCAAACCCTAAGCTCAGGCTCCCCATCTATATTCCCATCTGTGGGCTCACTGGCAAGCCTTTCTTTTTCTCATAACAACTTTTGTTATTTAGAAAACACCTCTTTACAGGGGTGCCAATCTTTTTGGAATTCTCTGCAAATACCTATGGCCTTCACTGGTGTAATCATTATATCTTTGTTCTACAATTTCAGGACTTATACCAGGGTGGCAGGCAACACATTGGTTGGAGAAAATCCATTTTCTGCAATTTTTCTTTGAAAGCATCTTTTGGTGAGAAAAACAAATAGACCTTCCACATAATGTACTTATAAATCATGTTGTTTACATAATAAATAAGAGTTTAACTAGGAAATGGTGGTTTTTAATCTTTAGCTCTCAAACTTTTGACCGATTTAGTTAGTTCATCAACATAACCAGGTTAAGTCTTCTAGATTACAAATTAGCTTCATTCCCCCTCATATCTGCTATATTTATTTGACAAATTATGGTAAGAACACCCAGTAATGGGATCTTTGTCAGTTAGATTCCAAATGAATCAAAACTATGAGGAAAACTACTCAATAGAGGCAGTTAAATGTTCAAATAATGTGACAGTGTTATCATCATTTACCCAGGAAGACAGTCTCCACATGCTTTTCAAAATGATGATATTTGGCTGTTAGGGCAGAGGGCCATTGCAGCTACTCTGGTCATTTTTTAAAAGGAAAAAAAACAAAATACCACAACAATACATATATAAAGAATACAGAGGGATGCAGAAAACAGTAACAAAAAG